GCCCGAATCGCCCAAGCACATCGGCCCGCACCCCACAGGGCGAGGACTGTCTCACGCCGGCAAGCGAGACCCCAACGCCGGCCAAGAAGGTGGGCAAGGACCCGGTCTTCGGCGACAGCGTCGAAGACGAGGTGCTCTCCCCGCTCCCGGCCGCACACCCCACCCACCGCCCTGACACCGCACCGTTCCATCAGCACACGGTCGAGTGCACCGTGGATCCGAGCATCGGCGTCTGCTTCGTCGAACCCGGCATGATCAAGACCACACGGGTTCGAATCCCCTCTGCTTCCGCACCCTCCCGCGCGGGGCTCATCCTGACTCCCCATATCGATAGGACGAGCTCAACACGAAGCTCTTCGAGGTCCTCGACTCGCACAAAGAGATTCATCCAAAGATGACGACGTTCGACCGCTCCAAGAAGAAGGCTATCATCTTCCAGGGCAGGACAACTGGGCGCGAGACGCCAACCCGTTCTATGAGGGCACCGAGGGCTGGACCAACGTCCACTACTTCCGCAAGCACTTCACGACCACTCCCAAGTACCTCAGCGCGGCGCGCGCGCTTGCCAGCAGCCGCGTCACCGGCCACTGCCTTCCCGCCACCCACAATGAGATATCATGACCTCCCACCCTCTGCTTGCAGCGGCTCGCTGAGGTGGTGAAGGTGGTCCCCGGCTTCAATAAGGAGGTCAAGTTCTACAAGCGGGTCACGCACGACGACGGCGCCACCGAGACGGAGCCAACGACGCTGGACGAGATCATGCAGATGGAGATCACGATGGTGCTCCCCCCCCAGCCTCAGTCGAGGCGGGAGAGCGAGCTGAGCCGCAAGCTCGAGGCCGCGTATGCGGAGGTGGCTGCCGCCAAGCGGCAGCGCACCTAATTCACACTACACACACATCACACACACACATAAGAGGGTGTCTACTGCAAAAATGCTGTCCTCTACGTGTGCTGGGCCAGCGGACTGGGATGGCTCTTGCCTCTCATCCCGCCGACTCGAGCCGCATGTCCGGCCTCCTTTCGAGAGGAGAACTTCTTTCTCCGCAAATTTCACGCCACGCCTCTTTTCGCCGGCCGTTTTTTTTCTTTCTGGCGCACATATGAGCGGCGCCATCCCATTCCAGCTCGCCGACCTGGCTCGGGGCGACCTGGCCTCGCTGCGCGGCTTCCTGTCTGGGCAGGGGACGCGCGGCACGTCGCTCGCGGCCCAGCTCGACGCGCGGCACGACACCGAGAAGCAGGACACGCTGCTCACCTGGGCCGCTCGTCACGGGCAAGCCGAGGCGGCGCTGCTGCTGCTCGAGGGCGGCGCGAGCGTGGGGGCGACGAATGGCGGCGGCGCTTCAGCGCTGCTCGTCGCGAGCGACAAGGGCCACCTCGAGTGCGCCCGGCTGCTCCTCGAGGTTGGCGCAGCGACCGACCAAGCGATGAACGATGGCACCACGCCGCTGAGTGCTGCGAGCTTGGCTGGCGAGATCGGCTGCGTTCGGCTGCTCCTCGAGGCTGGCGCCGCGGTCAACCAAGCAGACGCTGGAGGCTTCACGCCGCTGTGCATCGCGAGCGAGAAGGGCCACGTCGAGATCGCGCGGCTGCTCGTCGAGGCCAACGCGGCGGTCAATCAGGCCGATGATGAGGGCACCACGCCGCTGTACGTTGCGTGCCAGGAGGGGCATTTCGAGTGCGCCCAGCTGCTGCGCGA